CAAAAAAAAAAAAAATGAAGTTGCTGAATTTGTACACAATAGGCTATTACCTGCAATAATTAAATGCAAAAAGCGGTTAAAAAGGACAAACCTTTATCTGGATGAACAGCGTCTTGAGAAATGGAACCGAATTTTTTGGTGAAAAAAATCAGCTAAATTACACGAAATATCTGTCAGATAACGAAAAAAAAATTCAAAATTCGTAAATGGAAAGGATACACAGATAATGAAGGAAGACGATAGTTCCAGATCTATATACCGATAAATACGGAATTGCTCTTCTTCTTTAATTGGTTTATAGTAAACCGAGAATCGCTTTAACTTGACGACAGCTGAAAATGAGAAGACAAGTTACGAATCTGAAGAAAACACCACTACTTTCTATTTTTTTAAGTTTTAATATCGTGGATAAGAGAAATAATTACCAAGTCATTTCCTCCGTGACTGTTTCATTTTAACATGTAAAAAGAAAATACATTTCTATAGTTATATATTTAACTTTAATTTTTTTTTTTAAATTTCGTGCCAAGTCATTAGGGGTCAAATGTCGAGTCTTTGCAAACTTATTTTTAGTTTTATTTTTTTTCCTTACATATGACTTTAGAGATTTATTGTTTACACATACAGATTTAAAAAGATATTTTTTTAATTTTAATATAAATATTTTTAGAAGGAAATGGTTCAATATAATGCCTGCAAAATTTGGTATATTTTATTTTTAGATCTTTTATATAGAAAATAAATTTTTGGATAAATTTGACATAAAATTTAAAAAAATTTAATGTGCCATAAGAGGGAGGAGTAGTGTTTGGTTGCTATTGTAATCCCAGGTAAAATTAATTAGGAATATTTTGTAAAAAATAAAAATACCTGATCCCTGTAGCGCGCTGTACGTAACGTTAAGGTGGTCCAGAAAGGAATAACGGTCAAAAACAGGTAATTGGGCAGATGCCGCGGCCTGGTCCAATGCATCGGATTCTATAAATCTCTGTTTATTTTAATAATAATATATCTCTGACTATTAAAAGATGTTCTAATCTATTTGTCTGTGCAGATATAATATTGACATGTAGCTTTGGAAAAATATCTTCTCTATTATTACACGACCCATTAGAAAATACCCTTTTTACTCACATCTTAGTGCCCGTTTGGACATAAACTTTTGATGGAAGATTTTTCCAGAAAAAATTCATTTTTTTTAAAATTAGATCATAAAATTTTTAATTTTCACTTTAAAATGCATTTTGGAAATTTTCTAAAATTTGAAAAACTACAAAAAGTTTTTTTTTTCAAAATTTTCACTCAAATCACTCACAAACTTCAAAAATAACCCAATTTGAAATTTATGTCCAAAAACAACTCTAAATTTCAAATACCATTTTCACTTGAAAAGTTTCTCACCATTTTTTCGAATTTTACAAAATCTTATGTCCAAACGCCTACTTAATCTGTATGTAAAAAAAAATAAAAAATAAAAGCTCTTTCTTCTGGTCTCTTTTATTTGGTCATCAATGGTCCTTTTTATGAATTGAGATGGAACCATTAGACCTTTTCTTTTAATTCTTAAGATTGAAAGAGACAAAACTAAGCCCATGGGTCAATTTGAGTCATTGTGTTTTAGAAAAGTGCAAAACTTTCCCCATCTTTTCTGACCTCTGACCGTTTGATACCTCCAAAATATTATTCTTGCATTTACCATTGCTGTTCATTAATCCATAAATCAAACAGTGATACCTCTCTAAAGTCATTGTAATGCTCCAGAAAAAAGAAGTTGCTTTTTATTTCTCAAAATTATTACGTGATAAAAGGAGAAAAAAATGATAAGTTCTCTATGACCATATATGGATTTCTTTATGGTATCATGAGATCTCAAAAGGATTAGTTCTTTGCTGGAATGTGACTAATATGTCAAACTTTTGAGACATCGCTTATATATTGTGGACAATACATACACGTATATGGTACATGATTTTTAAAAATATAAATATAATTCATTACAAGAATGGTCAATATCAATTAGAAGCAATTTCCTCTTGGGGGAGGTGGGGGGGAGGGGGTCATGATTTTATCAATGACTTTATTTTCCTTCTTTAAACTTTTTGATCATTTTTCAACAATCAACTTTAATAAATGAAGGCAAAGAAAGAAGGACAATTATTTCAGACAGAAACAAAGGAAGGAAAATGAATTCAATTATGCAAATTAAGTTCTTCTTTCCTCTTACTGAAACTTCTGTGGATGATGTATAATTGGCCACCAAACAATACATTATAAAGACATAATCAGTAGCCAATAATGCATCTTCCAAATTACAAGATAACAACTCCATAGCTCCAACAAAACATTTCTGATTGATACAAAGACGATGCAAGAAGTTTCAGTAAGCATAAAATGAGGAGATACAAGTCTCGGGAGAATGTGGACTTAAGTTTTAGTTTTATCGATATACCAGCTGAGACGGATGATTTGGGCATTCAAAACTTGTAGTCTCTAAATCTTCTGCTTCAAGACATGGCGCAACTGGACCTTCTGGCTCTCCATTCTTGCCTCCAACAGCTTTGATTTTAAACTGTGCTTGTGAGAATTCCGCGGCCATTCAATGCACCCCTTCATCCCTCGTGTTATTTGTGGATTGGTTGAGCTGGGTGAGCTCCATTGTCCAGCAAGGTCTGAGGGGCTAAATCCACTTTTACTCGAACCATGATCTGGAGAAAGAACAGCGCAATTTGATAGCCTCCCATTTGATAGTCTCCCATTCATTCCTTCTACTGATATCTTTTTGTAATTGTCTCCATTCGATTTCCAAAGCCTAGATATAGATGACACCTTCTTAAGCTGCCGACCTGGCCCTGAACATACTTCACTTATCTCTGTAATTGGTGTACCATCACCTCTTGAGACATTGCTATACTTCCTGTTGGTAGAAGAGATGCTTCCTTCAGGGGAATAACTAGAGCCTTGTTCATCGAGATGGCTCGCTGTTTCCCATTCACTTCCCTCTTCCTCTAAATCATCGGTTTGATTGACATATGCGTGAGAATGTCTGTGGAAGTTGTCTTTATTGTATACACCACCATCAGGACTGTATGCAGGACACGGCTCAATCTCCCTGTCATTATTTTCAATAAAATTAACATCCTCAAACATAGCATCATCTGGGTTTGGAGGTTCATAAGTGAATTCCGTGATATCACGAATATCCACTGAAGCAGCTGCATGTTGAAGCTGCTCAGCTCTTTTGATCACTTCCTCGTCGGGGTTCATACCTCTAGAACTTAGAAAAGACTCTAGCTCTGCAATTAGTCTATTCATCTGGGAATACTTCTCTTCTAGTGTCACCTTAGCATCAACTAGCTTCATCTGAACCCGTTCCTCACGCCAAACCTCAGCCATCTGCAACATCTTTCTTTCTTCATCTACTTCCTCTCTTAGTGTCTGAGATTCTCTCTTCAATACCTCGACTTCAGCCTTGTCTTCTCCAATTTCCTTGGCTAATTCTTCACACACTTCCTCTATCAACTCTCTACCTTTCCTTTCTTTTTCGTAATCTTGCAAGTAGCGCTTTGCTGATAACTTGGTATCAGCCAACTCATTAACTAACTTGGAGTTAACTATTTCCAGCCTCTGTCGGTTTTTCCTCTCTCTTGACAAGTCAGCTTTCATATCATCGATAATTGCACGAATTTTTTCGTGTTCTCGGCTTCGCCATGCTGTCTTCTCTTCGCTAAGTTTTCTCAGAAACTGCTCGAGTTTCTTTTTTGATGACCGCCGCTCCATCTCAAGCTGATAAATTCGGGAGCGAGCCTGCTCTAATTCACCCTCAAGCTTAGAAATCATTGCAGCATTCTTCGACTGTTTATCAGGAACCTTCTGATGGCCGTAAATCTCCTTTATTTCCTCAGCTATTTGCCAGCCAATTGGATCCCACTTTGTTGCCCCCTCCATAGCTGAGTTTGAATATTGAAATGACAGTTCTAGCTACAGAATATAGAGGTAACCCTTTTGTTAGACGAGCAAGTACGGAAACAATGAGACAGCAATGGTAAAATAGTACCATGAATAAACTAAATAATAAGAGTTTTTGATACTCAAAAAACAACTTTCATTAACTTCCGATAACTCTAGGATTTCCCTAATACAAGGGAAGTCCCTTTTCCTGCGCCTATTACATTGTTTAGGACTATTACACCAACTTTAGGACTTACATAAAGGAGCTTAGATAGTTAAGAAAACATTGAGAAAGCACCTACATACCTTGTGAAAAAAACCATTTCTTGGACCGGAGACAGATCGAGGACTCTGCACTGTATCATTAATGTGAGAATCATTCTGTTCACTGTGATGATGATGACCGTAAAAGGGCACATCAACATGACCAGCCTGGAGGAAGGAAAGGAAAATTGAAGTTGAAAAAAGTTGCTTAACTTAGGATCTAGAATAATACAGCACTAGTCGAAGTTGCCCTTCGCTCTAAGGTCATAAAAGTATGAACATCCTAAAATCACAGGGCCTGACAAAATTAAACTACCAACATAAGAAAATGAAGAAGTAAAAGCAAGCAGAAGTGAAGCTGCTCATAATTATACCAATGGGACCAGAAAACAATCTCAACTGGGAAGATTAAAATAGATTATAGAGATGAAACTTAAACTTCAATCCTAAAGTTTCTAATCATGCATTCATAATTGCTTTGCCAAAATCTTTTTAAGGAAATGCCAAAGTCAATGTAATTAAAGCAAGTAACCAAGTGATCTCAAACTAGTTGAGGTCAGCTACATGAATCCTCTATATAATATCAATTCAGCTCTATTCAAAAAGCATTAGAATCATTTCAATTCCAAATTCACTTTGACATTTAACATACAAATGACCAAAACTAGAGAGGAAAAGAAAAACCCTAAAGAAAATGAACTACCTGAAATGCTAACTTTTGAGGTGGGATATTGGGAACTTCTTGCAACTGAAGCCTCCATAATCCAGCAGCTAACTTCCTAGCAGAAACCAAGGTTTTAACTTTCCGGCCAGATTTCCTACCAAGCTCCACCGTGGACTCGTCGGCGTCCCAGGTACAAGGAGCATTGTCATTTACATCCTCGTTATATTTCCAACGTAGTAAAGGGGTCTCAGGTCTGCTCTTTTTCCCACCAGCAATATCTCTTTTTAACCTCACTCCGGTGCCGGAGTTCTTGGTTTTCCGGCGAGGCGGTTTACGAGAGCAAAAGGGTTTGTGTAAAAGATCTGAATCAGGTAAAGGGTTCACTAATTTGGATGATGTAATTGCTGGAAGCTCATCTTTGTTAGCAGTGACCTTCATCTTTGATGCACAGATTTAGCCATTACTCAGCTCTTTTGGTTTATTGCCTTTTCTGGGAGTTAGTGACATAGATGGGTTGAGTATTAGAGTTGAGGGGGCTAGGGGACTCGTAATATGGGGGGCCCGGGTGGTGAGGTTTGAGGAGGGGGTGGGTGTTCTGTGATCTCTTTTGGTTTTGAGGCGAAGGAAGAGAGAAAAGCAGAGTGCAGTGTGTGTGTGTGTGTGATTTATACGTATAAGTAGATTATTTGTACGGTCAACGTTTCTCATTAACAATAAATCTTTCTTTTTTTCTTCCATTATGTCTGGTAATCGCATTAGATACTCACATTAAAGTCTCCATTAGTCCAAAATTCGTGCAGGTAAGATCCATTCAAGAAAATGTACTTCTTACTAGAACATTTTCATTTTCAAGTTCCAAAATTGATGAGCTCTAATTAATGATAGAAAACTCATATTTATCCCAGTATAATATTTAGTGGTAATTAATAAATCTTGGATTGCCATAAAGCGCACAGTGAAAGGTTAACTTATATTACAGGGGTGTATGTAGTAGTTTTGGCCAAAAACGGCGTCCGTTGGTTCTTAACTGGAAGGAGGCAGTTAAAAAATAGTATAGTTAGACTGGAGTGCCAGGCTGCCGTTAGGCATGGTCCCACGGCCCTCTCCAGCGGGAGCGCGTTATGACTTTGCCGCTGCAATTTTCTTTTCCTATTTTATTAAGTTGAAGTGTTAATGATATTCTCACACGGTTTAGCAATCTTAGCTTATGTTTGCACTTAATAGAGGTCTGCATCTTAATTATCCAAATCTCAGATATTAAGTGTGTTTGTTTTTAAAGTCTGAATCTTAATTATTCAGATATTAATCATTAAGTGTGTTTGTTTCTTTTTTAATTCATAACCACTTAATGCATTTGAATAGGTCTGTATGATTAAAATCTATAATAGAGACTTAATTTCATTGAGATGCTATCACATATTCATTATTAGATGCCGACATCGCCTACCTATCAACTACCACCATGCCACCACCATCATACTCAACCACCACCACCACCACCGTGCCACCATCATCCTCAATCATAGTCGCCACCATTATCGATAATCACCACCCACTATCCCCACGACTCCGACCACCATATATCATTTTCACCCACAATCAACGCTCATCCACCTGAACTACCACAACTGACCACCCCATCACCATCAACAACCACAGTCGGCACTGCTCATCATTATAACATACCACCACCCACCCACCACCTTCCTTAGTCACAACTACTATCACCACCCGCCATTATTAACTATCACCACCCACCACCACCATCCTCAATCATTATCGCCACCACTACCAATCACTACTACCTACTAGCATGAACCACCGTCATCAACCAAAACTACCACTAACCATCGCCTCTAGTCGGCATTCACCCATTAGCCATCACCACCAACAACTATCATATTTTAAAAAACTATATATTTTATTGATAGAATATTAGATTAGTTAGTATTTCATTTGAATTTTATGTTTATTAATTTTCAAATAAAGATAAATTTTATACATTCAGATGTTAAAAATTAAATAGTCTTAATTATTTCTATTCAGATCTTAATACACATCTTAATATATTTAGATGTGTATTCAGATTCAGATGTCTTAATCTTAATGCACATCTTGATATTCAGATGTGTATTCAGATTCAAACGTCTTAATCTTAAAAAAACAAATGAGGCCTTAATGAACCTTGCAGTATTTTACTTAGTCACAAATGTATAAATATGTAGCCAAATATCAATAAGCTCATATTCGGGAAAAAAAATCATTTTTTTGATACTCTAGATCTTTAGGAGAATCCATTTTCCTTTTTCCTCAAGTTTATGCATAACTATCCCAACTACAAAATGCAAAAACAAATGCGAGAAACCTAAAATCTCATATTCTTTAATGCTAATTCTATTAAAATTCGAATATGATTTGTGAGAAATTTGGAGTGAGTATTGTTTGAACTTATTAGAAATGATCTAAGTACGTTGTATACAAAGTTTGAAGGTTATTTGATGGAGATTTGGACTAATTTGAATAAGCATTGCAAGTGATAAAATCGTACAAAAAATTCGTCAAATATACTTATACACTTTTATATAATGTTATACACTCTTGTACAAATAGGTACATTATGTATATTGTTGAATAAAAGTGTATAAAGATGTATAAACACAATAGTAAAAATATTCGTGATACATTATGTATATAGGTGCATAAGAACAAAATACAAGAAATTCACAAAATACATGTACATAATATATCAACCTTGCATGCAATAGTGTATAAGAGATGTTTATACACTATATATGTAATACATATACTATTATACAAATGAATCCTATCAATGGAGCTTCACAGTTTCTTCTTCTTCCTTGAGCATCTTCTGAAATTTAACTCAAATCTAACGTAATTCTACTCTAAATCACTTCAAACTTAAGTTTTGAACTCCTCTTGATGATCTCACTCAATTGAGACTATACCAAATCCAAACAACTAACAAATCGAAAAATTCAATTGTTGAAATTGAAGCTTCGAACAACCTAGACTTTTATTTTTCAAGTTTTTAATCAACCATTGGGATTAATTATATTTGAAACGAGGATAAGACTAAGACAATGCCAACACCTTCTTTCTAAGTTAATGATCCAACAAACTATCAAGTGAACTTCTTTAGTGCATGACAATAAACACGCAGTTCTCTCTATTCCAATGAAGGAAGTAATCTTCATATGACTCAAAAAAACTAAATCTTTTACATATTGTTTTTTTTTCTTCATCCAAGTAGTGGCTATCAGCTTTGAACATGGAAGGAGAATAATAATGGTAGAGAAATTTATGGGTGCAAAATCATGACAAGGGGAGAAAACGAACGAAGAAAGAAAAAGAACAATTAAAAGGGGTGGGCTAACGGGTGAAAAGTTTGGGGGAAGTGAACAGATAGCCATTCTCAGGGATGTTATATAGAGATTAGTCAGTATTGATTTTGTCTTGAATTTTAAACTAAAATTTTCAACTTCACGAGAATTCAGGAACTTTTGTCATGAAAAGCTGAAATTCAGAACGCACTAGCTAATTCCTAAATACCGGCCCTTTAGAATGAGTATCTGGTGTTATTTTTATGTAATTTTCGGGTTATATACAATGTGAGCCACATCAAATAAGGGTTTCAAATGTGGACCATTTTCTGATGGAATATTGGGCCAAGTGATAATGCGTATAATTCTCCCTAGCTTAATTAACTTCAAGTAAAAGTTAAGTAGCTAATCTTATCAGTTGGTGTAATATAAGCGTAGTTTCGTAAGCATGGGTGGATCTACTCAAGTAATTAAATGATCATTGTGATCGCTCCGATCAAATTTTAGATATGCATAAAAGAAATTTAAAGCTTTTAGTTGTGTTAGTTGTATCTTCTTTGAACTGTATATTAGTAGTTGTGTTAGCTTTCTTCATGTTTATGCTCTTTTGGTAAAGTGATATTAGAACTCTCTTACAAGTTAGTTTATAAATAAACGGGAAGATAATTCTTTAAACTGACGAATGTATATTATATGTATAAATCATATATAATATTTCTTCGTTTCAAAAAGCCTAAACTTATTACTATCTGAAGAATTAAATAATACTTTTTACCATATTTTTGCAAATAGTTTTTTTGAATATTTTGAATTGTGATTTATAGTATTTTTATGCAATTTTTATTTAAAAACCCGTAAATAAATTATGTCCGAATTCACACCAATAATTATTCAATGATTCAAATAAATATGTATATATCCGTCAATATATAATTTATATTTATCTATATCTATACTATATTAAAAGCACGAAGGCCCTTAGCGAAATATCGTTCACCTTTTTTACCCTTAAAAATTTAGTTTTACACTGGACAAAATAGTAATTTAATTATTTTTTTAATATTTAGGAATAGTTTTAATTCATTCCCTAATATTTAGGACTCCAAAATCAATTAAAGATTGTGTACCAAATCCTTCCATATTTGAGCTATATAATATAACATGTATGTAAAAAAAAAAAAAATTAAAGATTGTGTACCAAATCCTTCCTTATTTGAGCTATATAATATAACATATATGTAAAAAAAAAACAATTAAAGATTGTGTACCAAATCCTTCCTTATTTGAGCTATATAATATAACATATATGTAAAAAAAAAATAGCTTCGGAAAAACACAATGTTTTGTACGCTTCGTGTGCATGTAAAAACCTTTGATGGAATACTTTCAATTCCTAAAGTTATATTAGGAAAAGTATGAGCACTTTGGAATCCTTTTAGCAATAGGNTTTTCTTGATCAAGTGAGGGCAGGTAGCATTGGATGACTTCAGGAAAATGCTTGTAGTCTTTGCAGAACCCAAAGGCGAACCAATACAGACCTCTTTGTTTCGGTTCCTCTTTCTCATTTATGTTTAATTTAACTCTCTTATTTCATTCTCTAATGCATTTCTTTTCTATGAGTGACGTGGAGTTAGCATTACTCATCTTCTTGCTGTTTGGCCAAGTTAAAATTTTATAATACTACTAATTATTCATCAATAAGATGTTAGCAACCACAAGCTCCCCAACAAATACATCTATACTATATTAAAAGCACGAAGGCCCTTAGCGAAATATCGTTCGCCTTTTTTACCCTTAAAAATTTAATTTTACACTAGACAAAATAGTAATTTAATTATTTTTTTAATATTTAAGAATAGTTTTAATTCATTCCCTAATATTTAGGACTCCAAAATCAATTAAAGATTGTGTACCAAATCCTTCCTTATTTGAGCTATATAATATAACATATATGTAAAAAAAAATATCAATTAAAGATTGTGTACCAAATCCTTCCTTATTTGAGCTATATAATATAACATATATAAAAAAATAATAATAGCTTTGGAAAAACACAATGTTTTGTACGCTTCGCCTGCATGTAAAAACCTTTGATGGAACACTTTCAATTCCTAAAGTTATATTAGGAAAAGTATGAGCACTTTGGAATCCTTTTAGCAATAGGAGTCTTTTCTTTAAACATTAACCAATTAAATTTTCTGTAAATATTTTAGGCAAAAGTTTCGCTAAGTATTCATATATATATATATATATATATATATATAAAGTTATACAGTCAAACCTCTCTCTAACAGCATCCTTATATAATAGT